CTCAGCACTGGGCAATGATTCCAATCCCTCAGCACTGGGCAATGATTACAATCCCTCAGCATCTCCTTTACCATTTTTCTTTTGTTCACAGTACCTGTATTCTATATGGTCCAAACCTTTTTCTATAAATATTATTTTCCTTTAATCTTTTCTGCTTCGAAGGGTGAGTTTCGTTTTAATCAGTCATATTTGCCGCAGCCACAGCTGTAAATGTTCAGTTACAGCAGCAATCTTTACACAATGAACACAACTAGTACACACAGCAGGTAGAGACAGGGCTGAGAGGAGAGGAGATTATGTCATATAACCACACTTTTCACACTGAGATCAAGAAAAGACACTGGATATAAAGCTGGCAGGTCCAAAGTGCACCACTCTGTTCCATGTAGCTCACTGCTGTTTCTGGACTAACGTGACAGCTATGGGTTATTAAAAAAAGGCTTTAAAAATACTACACCTACTCAGAAACTGAAGAAACTCCTACAAAACACTTTTGCACACATAAAAGTGCCAAATTGCCAGGAGGAATTTAGCCACATCTAGTTTTAACCCAGATAATTTAATTTAGCAAAGTTAATTGTAGCACCTAACAACCACAAACAGTAGCTCTGTTTATTGAAGAGCTCTCCCTGTACCCACAATTTTAGTAAATTAGCCAGCAACTAAAGGGATGGAAACAGTTTGCACTTCCAAATGATCTAACAGCTAGACAGTTCATCTAACTGCTTTTCTAATCTGTTCATACTCTGAGTCTCTACAACTACCTACAGCAATGACTTTGACATTTATTACCTTCTCTGTTGGAAGTGACCTCTTTATTTTAAGCCTATCCTATCAATTAATTTCATGGTCTGCAGCTCTCATACTGTGAAAAGTCAACATTGTTCTCTTACTTGAAGTGACCAAAACTGTTCAGTCCCTCCTCAAATGCAACACAAGCCAATCTACTCATGTGATCCCTGCTGCTCTCCTCCTCCACCTTTCTTCTGATTAAATTCTCTTTAATCAGAGAGAATGGTAATTGTACCACGAGATTTTTCTGCAATGTTTGTATTCAACATTGTTTTCTATCATCCACAAACTTTGCCAGGCTGTAACAAGACTCTACAAAATTTTTGTCATTGCATTTCTGGAAGCTTATGCAAAACTCCACAAAAGACTTTCCAGCAACCAGATAAAGGTTTCTGAAACACTGAGGTTTTCAAAATTTCACAGGAAATACAAACAGGTATTTCAAGAATGATAAACCACATTACAAATTGGAAGGAAGACTTACTGAAAGTCCAAGAGCTTACCACTTGCCAGCAAAAGAACATCTACATTACATAAAAAGAATCACACTGAGGGTGGGGTATGCAGTCAGCTGCAAGCTTCACAACAGGTCGGTGAAAGAGACTGTTCTGGGCTCACTTATGTTTCAGGAAGGAATTTTCTCCAAAGTTTCCTAAACTTTCTCCAAAACATGATGACATATACAGACAGGGTTGCACTTCAATCTATTTCTTTTTTTTCTTTTTGTCCTGCCAAAGATTCAGTGGTTTTTTATGTAAGGCTGAGAGAACTGGGATTGTTCAGACTGGAGAAGAGAAGGTTTAAGGGTGACTTGACTGTGGCCTTACAGTACCTGAAGGGAGTCTACAAGAAAGATGGAGAGAGACTATTTACAAGAGCATGTAGTGACAGGACAAGGGGGAATGGCTTCCCACTGCCAGAGGGCAGGGTTAGATGGGATATTGGGAAGGAATTCTTCCCTGTTAGGGTGGGGAGGCCCTGGCACAGGGTGCCCAGAGAAGCTGTGGCTGCCCCATCCCTGGAAGTGTCCAAGGCCAGGCCGGACAGAACTTTGAGCAACCTGGGAATAGTGGAAGGGGGTTGGAACTAGATGAGATTTAAGGTCCCTTCCAACCCAAACCACTCTGTGATTAAGCTTCAGTAGCTTTTCTAACCTCGCTCCAAGTTGAAGTTTGTGATATCTGTTGAAGTTTCCTCGTCATCGCTGGAAAGGCCTTCAAGGTGATCTGCCATCTTCCCAGTTTGCTCTCTGGCTTGTCTACGGCGAGCTCTGCAAAGCATAAACCAGTTACCACTTTTTTCTTCCTACCTACACAATGAGCACACCCACCTAAGCTTGTCCTAACCTTTAATTCAAGGAGAGGCAGGGTGAAAAGAACTTTTACTATGCCGTCACCTCAAACTCTCCACTACACTGCTGCCTCAAACAAAAGAAGGAAAAGAAACCAGCAGAGGCCATAGAGATGTAGAACAGATTTACTATGCTTCCTTTGAGTGATTTTAAATCAGTATCATGCAATGATGCCTCGGTTTGTACACTTGCATGGTAAATTGGGATATATAAGAATAGCCCTGGCCCAGCACACCAGGTGAAGTGTTTTCTTCCCTTTGCAGGGAAGAAGCAAGCATTGCCACTGGTGTTAGTATGTCACACAGGACAGCTGTATCGTGTAAACAGGCAAAGACTCCTCAGTGCACAAGAACTCTCATCCTCTACCTTCTAGCCTCTCTTTCTGCAGTTCGGCGCTTGACTTGTTCTTGATAGATCACTCTGTCTCGCCCAAAAGAATCAAGATTTGGTGCCATCAGTGCTTTATCTGTAAAATTACATTGGTGAAAATTAAAATGCTTATTTATGATTCCAAAAATGTGCTGTAGGCAGTTTCATAAGAGCCTTTTACCTACTTTTAAACTAAGTGTAATTTGAAGTAGAAAGTTGAAGTTTTAAAAAAAAAAAAAAACAAACAAAAAACCAGAAGCCTGAATTCCCCAAGCGTAGAGGTTAAAACAGAAAGCAGCGGAGTTTGGAAAAATTTCCCCTTAAATGTCAAATAGTTTTCACCATACTTCACTCTTGTCCGTCTCACAACAGTGCCCAACTACATTTAAGTCAACAGTTATAACAGAAATTGCTTAAATTGAATGGTCCAAGACAAAAAGTGCTCCTTACATAAACACATTCACCATGTAACTTTTGAAAAGAAAATTAACAAAATGAAGGTCAGGGAATAGTGACTGGAGCAAGAACATATAAGGTTTCACAGTTCTAGTCATTGTGTTTCTAAGTTCATATGCTTTAGACTGCCTAAAGTTTAAAACACATCAAAATCTACAGGAAGACAAAGCATCTTCCTTCCCCTTCAAGCTGTGATTATCTTTATAGATGTTCCTGGTTACAGAAAGCACGTAAGAGTGTTTCCAGTTCCTTCTTCCCAGGTAAATTTTAAACAGTGGACTGAATGCTAACTAGTGCTCAAGTCCACCCACTGAAATATTAACATTTAAAAAACAGCCTATCCAAACTTCTGGAGTAAATTTACATGTTCTAACTAAATCTATTTACAAATTCACCATTACAAGTATTAATGATGATCTATGTCAGTATTCCAATTCAATACCAGAACTACTAAGAGCCCTCTCAAAACTTCCAGATACTGTGTAAGAGCTCTCTGTAAAACCCAATCTCAGCCATGACAACTATTCCCACACCCCCATTAAATCTATTCCAAGCTCCTTTTAGGAAATTTCTAGTACACAAGGTTTCTAGTTCTCACATTCTCACAACAGCGTTTTCATGGTTAAACTGCAAGGCCTACATGTGATGCCTGGGGTCCAAATACAGTCCTAAAAAGAATGTGTATGCTAGCTACTCTGTAAAGGAACAGCAACTCTGACACCCTCACACTTCATCAGCCTTGGTAAATTCTAGCTAATGGTATTAAAAGATTTCATCTCTGGACACTCTGTGACAGAATAGGAAATGGCTTCTATTAGAGGATTTTACATCAGCAATAGGACAGACAAGAAAGCCATTTCTAAAAATGGGAAGCTCTCTGAAGCAGAAGGAGGACTCCAATTCCTTGGATAATTTACCTGTCAGGTTTTTTTAATATACTGAATAAAACCTCCAAGAAACATATATTTCCATCCAAGTTAACACTTATACTTTTGGAGAGTTTTACATACTGAAGAGTAATAACCACAAGAAACCTCCTCAGCGAGAACCTCCCATCCACAAATTCACAGCAAGCAGGAGTTTGAACTGCCTAATCTTAAGCTGTATTTCATATAGGGTCGCTTCGTATTAGTCTGATTAGTCTTCCAGTTCTTTAGCTTTACCAGTTAAGTGTCTGAAATTAAATACTTATGTTGGCTACAAACCAGAGCATTACATAGAAGTCTAGCCCAGTGCCTCATGGCTTTGTACAGAATTAACTGTAGGTGTTAAATGCCATGTATAGATTCAGGAAGGTTAAAACAAATTTTTAAAAAGTCCTGACGTAAGAGGAAAATGGGGAGTCACGTGCTACCACTATTTCCACTGCCACCATGCATACGCTTTCAGTGCTAGGAAGGAGAAAATATAGTTAAGAGAAACAGAAAGGAGAGATGAAGTCAGAGTTAGAGCGGTTTGGAGTTCAAAACAAAACAGATTAGAGAACTTTCATCTAAACGTGCTGCTACCCATCTCTAGAGTAAGGATAAACTTTTAAGACACTCATATGTTAAACATTTACATTTCAATTTAGTCATACTAAGTAAACAAGGTTGTTTAATGAATAATAAAAACCTTCAAGATGGACTGACTTGAATGGCTTGAAAACTCCGAAGATTCATCTTTAATATCATCTTGTCGTCTTTGGACAAGGCGGGAAGCTCGCTGTTTGTACAGCTGGTGCATTGCGGACTCAAGCTCGTTAATCAGAGGCACCTGTAAAAATACAACACACCACGTAACACCCAGGCCTTGAGCTGCTCAGCTTCTGGGGCCCGTCCTATTCCGAAGCATAACGCTGTGCCTGTGCTCCCAGCAGCACAAACGCGCGCCTCTTACTCCTCTGCATCACCTGCACTGCTAAGGTGTGGAAAATACATGCATTTAATGTTGGCAGCTTGTTCAGTCAGAGCAAGAGCGCTCTGAAAGCAGCTTCTGTGGATTGAATGAGCCTACGCAGCAAGACAATCATTTTAGAGTGTGAAATAGTCTTTGCAGTACTCTTGCTTTCTCTACCAAGCACGTTACATGTCGTATAAGGGTTTACAATTCTCAGACCTTACTGTTTCCTATCTTTATACAAGAATGTAGAGGTATTCTATAGTTAAATGAGAAAATAACCCAACTGTACATAGTGAAAAAAACACCTATCAATCCATCCTCCTGAAGCCAGCAGCTATTGTTTTGCTCTAACTGTTATCACTGAAATGGAATCAAGCCCTGCATAGCCATGTTATGCCAACGGGCAATTCAAATCAGCCAAAAGTCCCTCTAGACAATTACTAAAACTAAACCAGTACAATTTGTGCAAGTTATGCATTAAATATAACCTTAAATGATACACAGATGTCAGCTCAGACCTGTCACTTTTTTTTTTTTTTTTAGTGGACTAAATTTTAGCATCAACTCTAACAAAAATAGATGATGTTAGAACAGTCCTGACATTAAATAGCAGGTTCATTGATCACTTCTGCGAAAATTCATTTCCAGGGACAAGTTAAAATTAGATCATTATAAATATCCAAATGCAAAACCAGAGCTTTTCACAATCTCTTAATTTGGAAAGGCAAGTCCTTTTGGCACAAACACTTAAGCCATATCCTCCTTACCTCCAGACGAATGCTTACTCCAGTCTTCCAGCCTGTTAGCTCAAATATTTCATTGCTGCCTACCATCCAGGGTTATGGGGTTTTTTCAAAACAAAAGATGAAATCGGAAATTGTTTCCTGATGTAATTTAGAATGTGACTCAGCAGCTATTAAAGAACCTCCTTCAGTAAAATATAAGATTCTGAGATTATAGCTACAGGGCCTTTTCAGCTGAGACTGACACACACATCAGAGGAGATATTACACGAAAAGAAGTATTAGCTCTTTGTGGGATAAACTGGACTCCAGGGATTAAAATGAAAGCAACTCTACATCAACTCAAAATATGTGCACCTTTCTTTTGGAAAAAAGACTAGTGAGAAAGATATCCCAGCACTGGAAGTCTATACTGAAAATTTAAAACAATTCTGAAAACAGAAATAATAATTAAAAAATACTAGTTTTACTGCAATTTACCAGAGAAAATATAGCTTCTTCTCTTAAGTATGTAAAGGAAATTCTAACACTGAAAAGTTCAATGAATTTTTTCAAAGCATCCCCAGAGGTTTTCTGTAATTGTCTCAGGATTAAAAGAAAAAAAAAACCAGTGATGTATTCAGAAATATGAATCCATTCGAAAGTATTTCCCATTTAAAACACAAGAGACTTAGAAGCCCTTATTCTTCTATAATCAATACCGTGGTTAATGAGTCGCTGACAATTTCACTGACTACTAAAAAGTTACAAGCCTCATTCCCTGTTTTGTTTAGTCAACACGTTAAATTCAGTGTTTTCAAGGGGTTTTTTGTTCACTTTCACTGTAAACAGCGTAAGAGGAAAAGCAGAAAGCTCCTTAAACATTTAGATCACGAGGATTATTTTAAGGTACAGCCCACATCTCTGACACACAGAGTGTGTTTTGATAATTTGCTGTGCGGGTAAAGTAACAGCTCATCTCCCTGTGCTGTCAAAGTACGCTCAGAACAATTCAATCTTTCTGTATCCACTGTACATTCCTACATTCCAAACGTAAAAACACCCTTACCACTCGCTGGCCTTCCCAGAAAGCATCATTTGACACTAACTACTTCACAAGGAAGTCATGCAGGCATCTTCCACTCTCTTATTTATGGGGAAAAAAAAAGATATCACAGGGATTTTGACCTTTCTAGTGCTTGTTTCTAAAATCTGTATAACAGCTGCCTCATTATACTCTCCACTGTGCCTTACAAATAGGCAAAGTGATTCTAACATTCAGAATCTTTTCAAAATATCCTAAGATATGTGTATGTATATATACACATACAACAGTATTATTATTACACATGCAGATACACATTTTATATGCTTATGCATATTATAAACATAACTATGTACATTATTATAAACAATAATAGCAACCCTTTAAATATGAAGCAGTTAGGGCCACAGGTTCTACCAAAAAGCTGAAGGTAATTTATCTCTACACTCAGAACAACAATTTACTGTCCTACTGCGTTTCATTTAAATAAAAACTGATACTGATTTTATTAATTGATTTTTTTTCCCCTCTCCCCACCTCCTTTTTAGAAAACCTTGTAGTGTCCCGTGGACTGGTGTTCTGAATTGGATGGTACTTCTGTCATGCTGAAAGCACTGAATTCCAAACCACATTATCTGGCCAAATGATATCATAATAAATGAAATGCTCCCGTTAGACTGACCACATCACCTCCTGCTTTTGCAACTCACTGCACATACAAACACAGCAACAGCCTCCTCCTGACACCAGCAAACCTCTGTGAATGCCCCTAAGAAGCATGAGATGATAAAAGTCACGTCCCAGCAGTTCAAGGGACTGGCATGGCAGATGAGGTGTGGGGACGCTGACAAGGGGGAGGAAGGCATCCAGGTGTGGAATCCTTAAAAGACCAACTACCAGGAAAGCAAGGGTATATTGTAAGAAAGCAACTGTAGCTGCTGCTAATGTACCAAACAGGCTTGTTAGTTTGCTGTAAAATGGCTGGGATGGATTTATTTACTAGTATAGCTAGAGAGGCCAAAAACCTTCCTACAAACTGAACTGAAATTCTTACACTCTAACTAAATAGTAAATTTTCTGGGTTTATACAAAATCTGGCAGATTTGGGATTATGGCTTCATCAGGAAACAATCAATTGCAGGTAATTAGTTACACTAATCCATCAGTTGCGTGAATTAACTGATCCACACTTCCTAGGTTTGTTCATGACATAGTTATTTTTCACTTTACAGGACTGAAGATTGGTCTCTCCCAATTAATGGCCAATTAATGTCTAACCCATTAACACCCAGAATGCTTTTCTGTTCCTCTCCCACACCTAACGAGCTGGGCAAACAGTAGCTTAAACTACTCAGTCATTTTGACAGGTAATATATTAAGAAGTTACTATACTACTGTATTCGAGTCAGAAGACAATGAAGAAGCAGCCTATATACTGATAACTGAATTCTACAGCTCCTGTGTCTGCCTAATATATAGATAAATATATATAAATATATATATATTCAGGAGCTCCTACAATATTTACAACAAAGTAAGTATTCAAAGCATAATGAATATGTTTTTGAGTTAGACATATACAAAGGTATCACACTACATGAAAGAAGGATATTTTTATGTTTGGGTGTCTTTGAACAGCTACATTACTTTTTAAACTTTTCTCCTTCAGACTAGAGCAATACCAAGTAATGCCTGGCAGGAGGAAGTCTATAATAACACACAAAAGAAAAGTCTCTGTTACTGTGAACACAAAGCACTCCAGAAACTAGTAAGGTCATAATCCAGCCCTATTTGTGCTAACCTGATGTCCAACACAAGCAAAAAGCAGCATCTGAGTAAAGCTGAAATGCCAGAGAATCTACCAAAGTCCTAAAGACACAAAATCTACAAGTTTTTAGTCAATCTAAAGTCAGTGATCTCTTACACTGGGAAGAGAGGTTCCTGATAACCAGCTTAGCATGATGAAAAGTTATTTTTTCAATCCCTGAATAACCAAACCTTCAGAAGAGTTCTCAGGGGACTTTTTTTTCGAGAACAGAGGGAAATGTGGTGTTTGGCATGTACTAAGAGACCCCCTTTTTTTTTTTTTTTTGAAAAGAGATGAATGTTTTTGCATCCTTACCTTTTCACTGAAACACTCAAGCAAGTCTTGGACATACCCTCGCATTTCTTGCAAAAACTTATACTGTTCACCAATACCCCCAGAAGACCCTTCTAATCTTTCAATTGCCTTGGTAGAGTCCTCTCGGCTTTGCTGATGTTTCTCATATTGCTGCCGATTGGCCTTGTGCATTTCTTTCATAGAGTCCAACCTGAAGGGCAATGGATAAATAGTAAATTTACATCCAAAAGTCTATTTCAGACCATTGAGATATTAAACAGACAGTGCAAGTACCGAGCCCATACACGGGAAACACCGCAAAGACATTCTCCAACTTTCATTTGTCACTCTGTCCCCTCTCTCCACCAACAGCAAGGCTCAGGGTTGGCATTCATGTGCTGGACTCTGCTCAGTGCATTGCATGGCCACTCCCACTCATTCACTAACTCTTACAGGAGCTGACAGCATTTAGAACAGTGCAAGGCTGGTCCTAAAGAAAAGATGGGTGTCAAGGCTGCAGGTACAGGGGAACCACAGCTTATACAAAGTGCTCTTTTTCTTCTCCTAACTTGACTCACTGTCCAAGGCTGTGACGCTACAAGGGGATACAAACCAATGTCGAAGACACGTAAAGTGCAAGCTGTTCGTTACAAATGATTTCTCATTGCAACTGCGTTGTTCATTCCACACCCCTTTTGTGTACCTGACAAGCAGATTACAGTGTTTAAACCAAAAAAAAAAAAAAAAACCAAAAAAAAACACCCAACCAAAAAAAAAACCACCCCTGCATACACTAAAAATTAAATTCTTCATCTACTGAAGGGGAAAACTCTGATTCATAGTTTAAAAGAATGCAGCTTGATAAGCTGAACACCTCACTGGCCTTTTACTTCTTCACTATAAGACTGTGCAGTGTCCAGAAGATGCAACTCAGACCTGTCTTCAACAACATCAATGGCCTCATACTTAAAGCTTCACTTCCAGAGAAGCAATCCAAGGAGAGTTTCGAACAAAGTGTCAATGCCATCTTCATTTTGAGCTTTTTTTGTTTGCCTTTTTTTTTAAGTGGATGTGCCAGTCAGTACTTTTCCAGCGATGAAACTCTGTGTTTGCTCACCGAGACTAAAGACACCTGAGGAACAGAAACCTAGGGGACAGGTCTTTAAGTCTAAAAAGATGGTCTGTCCTACCTGTCTTTAAGCTGTTTCTTTACCAAATCAATAGTAACAGGAGTCATCTCATTACTGGGAGTTTTGAAAGGAACTGTATTATCTGTTTTTTGAGACTTGGTTTCCGATGATCCATATGCAGTGTAGGTGTATGGAATACCATACGATGAACCATAAGACAGTGTCTGGTAAGTGTTCTGGTAGTACAGATTATTCACTTCAGCAGGCTGACTTGGTTGAACCTAGTGGCAGAGGAAATCCAATTGTACTATATTAGGCTTTAAAGAAAGGAGAAACTTACTTTCTTACACATCTCACACTTTATAAAGTGAAAAATGTAAGCAAATGCATTCACAAAATGTCATTATCAAGTGGATTTAAGCACAGAACTTCCAACCTCTCCTTTAAAGTGGAAGAAACTAATACCCTCATCAGAAGCACCTTCTTAAATGGACAAATTCTCAGCATCATTATAATTCTAAATATTTATACTAGTTCTCTTTAAAGAATATCAGCATTTACACAATGAATTTCTCAGATAAAAAAGCCTTCTGGAAACTACTCAAGTTTGTAACAGATTTAGCCAATTCATGCAGAAACAAACCAAAAACGAGTTCAGTTATACACATGCCTGGGGTATGTTGATTCCTTTTCGTATCTGCTCTTGCTCCCATCTACTGAGTTCTTCATCTTGCTCCCCTGCCACCAGGGCTTCATCATCACTTCCCTCAATACCTTCATACAAGTAAAACAGACAAGTAAGAAAAAGGAGGAGATAATGCATTCATAGTAAGGGCCATAACTTAAAAAAACTGCGACCACGCCTCAGTGAGAACTCAGAGCATCTTCCTTTCCTCTTCAGGAGGAATTAAGGACATCGACCTGTGAATTATTAGCATAGGGATTCCACTTGAAAGATCCAATGAGTAAATCTGCAATTAACTGCTGGTAAAACCCTCTAATGTTAAAAACCCATGTATCTTACTAATTCTCATTTTCCAAGAGGTTATTTTAACTGCTTGCCAGCAAAGAGAATTCTATATCAAATGTTTTTTCTTTTCACAACTATATACTTCCTAAAAACAGAGTACAGGAAAAATAAGAATTGATCCTTAGTGGAAGTTTCTATTAGATCCAGCAGTGTGCACAGGAACAGAGTTTTGTGCTCAACATTTTATAAGCAGATTCCATTAGGTAGTACTTTTTCTCAGCACTGGAATAGAACTCCAGACTGTTTGAGAAACATGTTCTTTAAAAATGCTTAATGGGAGAATTCGCAGTGAAAACAGTGTGAATGTTTATCATCTGTCCTCCTAAAAAGGTTTTACCTATTTCCTCAGCAATCTTTTGCCTTTGGGATTTTTCCTTCACTGTAAAAACTATCCTCCTCTTCTCATCATCATCTTCATCATCACTGGCATCATTTTCATCTTCTCGAACGAGGCGGCCTTTCCCTGGTTCGCTCTCAACGGGGGTAAAGTCTCCGAGCTCACGAGCCATTTGACGCTTTTTCCTAGCGGCATGAATAAAAGCAGCATCTGGAATTTCTCCTAGAGACAGATGTGTGCACCATTAAACAACCACTGCAACAAAACAGGTATTATGATTTCTTATCACTCATCTCTGCCACCCTACCACATCATCTTTGCACACAGAAACAACAAACGCGGGAGGAAACAAATCCATACTCACAGAAACACCTGCAAGCAACTTAGAAGCTAAACATGTAAACTTTCTGACCAGAAACCCTCAAGGGTGGGATCTTCATAAAAAGTGTGGCTCTGCTTCCGGCAGCTCACACATCATAAAAGCAGAAGCCTGATGTTCCTATAGGAAACATTCCTAAAGAAGAGGAAGCCCTTTACAGGAGCTGACTATTGCAAAGGGAGGGAGAAATTGAGGTGTGTGACTGTGTCACCTCCTGTCCTGATATTGCTCCCAGCTCTTCTTATTTTGGGGGAACAAAAAGCATCAACCATTTCAACAGATGATGACAGCTCAGAGACTAAGAAGACACCAAACCAGACAAAGTTAATATAAGAAGATTGTACAACTGAAGAGAAACAAGAAAAGTGGACCTAATGAAAAACTCTAAAATCTACAGCACAAAAGTAATGCAACTTATATAAGTCACATAAAGAACAGGTCCCAGGACATCCATCTTATATTTGGTGAGCAGACTACCACAATTAGCAAACTAGTTTCAAAAATACTTTCTCAGACTGATTTCTTTGGCCTCAGGGTCTGACTAGAACCTCATTATACAAAACAGGTTAGGGATATATTTCCAATCCCTTGCAGACCCGTAACTGAAACACCTGAATTAAAGAACAGATTTTAACCGAAAGCAGTTAAATCTCATGTGAAGTCATCTATTCCAAATCTAGATTTTCTTATGGTTTGTCATCTATTTGGGAGACAAATTCCTGCTTTTGACATCAAGATGAAGCATTCTGTAGCAAAACATTTTCTCTTGTAAGGCTCGTGAAACTGAACCCCTTCAGAAAACAGCAGTTTCTTGAATTCTCAGATGCCAGATATATTGTTGGAAACTATTTCCTAATCTCTCATACACATTAGTCTGCTGTAAACATTGGCTAAAGCATTTGCTAACTTATCAGACAAATTACAAAGACCAACCTGGGCGGAGAACATTCAGTGAGGACAGAGCATTTGAAAACGCCCCAGCAGCTTTTGGTTTTTCATCTTCCTTCTCACTTTCAACTTCCATTTCTTCTTCACCATGCTCACTGTTTGCAGTCCCATCTTCTTGGCCTATATCCTTATTCTGTCCTGTCTTTTCTAGTGGTGCTTCGACTGATAAGACAACAAAGCCCATGTTTTACTCCTTTTATAAAGATCACTCGGAAGTATTTTTTTTAAGATATAAAAACCAAAAGGAAAAATCAAATTAAAATTTTGAACGATAATTTTATCGCTTGCGATCTAGTAAAATATGCTTTCTTAACTGTGGCTAAGTCACTGACATCCTCTCAAAATAACATCTGACAAGGCAGGCACACCAACAGCCACTAAACATTGTCCATACTGTCAAGTATTAAGAAAGTGAGGGAACTCAAGATCATACAGGCAACCTTGTTTCCTACATATGTAATGAGAAAGCATTGCCTGTATTACACCCAATCTTTCCACAAGAACAAACTCATCTCAAAAGAAGCTTTCATTGATGTAAGGGGTGTAACAACCCCTTACATCAGGTGGGTAACATACAGACAGATAGAGGCAGAAAGTACAAATACTGTGTAAAACAATGCAAGTTAAACTCAGCTATCCCATCCAAGGTGCACATACCTGAGCTTTTAGACTCAAGCATTTGTCTAGAGAATCCAGGCTACTGACTCAAGTAGCAGCCACAAGGTCTTTACACCACAACCACATCAATTAGGGACAGCAAAACAAACAGAAAACAGGCACGTGCAGCCATGTGCAAAATGCAATTTTTTAACGATCTTTGTGACAGAAGCAAGAATTAAGACCCAGGTTTTCGCAGATGACCCTGAACACTACACACACAAATGACCATTTCTGCCCCACACCAATGCACAGGCAACTTAAAGATTCTAGCAAGAAAGAATTTGTGGGTTTTCTAAACACAGACAAAACCTTTAAAAAACCTTTAAGAATTTTTAAAAAATAATTTAATTAAATATAAAAGGAGCATTTCCTGCATGGGATCGTGTTCAGCTCCCATATGCTTCAGCTGTACCATTGCAATCTTTACATCATAAGCCTCTCAGGTCGTCCTCATAGCATTATATACTCTATATAAAAACATAACTGGAAAAGGAATCACTACACTTTACCAATGAGCTTCCCAAAAAACAATAGTACAACTGGAATTGAAGTCCCAGGCTCTACTCCAAGCTGTGGAGGACTGTACATTGTTAAAAGATCCTTCTGCTCCAACACTTTCAGATTGTCACCTTAATCATCAAGTCTACTCTAAGGTCCAAGTCCTGAAACAGGCAGCTTTTTTAATGACAAAGAACACCACTCTGCTCACCCCAAAGCCTTCCTTTTTGAAAAAGATGCATTACAAGGACACATCCTGTCAGACAAGCACCAGGCATATTTTTAAACTAATATAACTCCTTCCTAACTCAGTAAGAAACTCATTTGTCATAACCACAGTTGAAATTCAGAAAACTGATGTCTACTGACAATCGGACACAGAGCTGAGAAGTTTCATCCGTGTTAATTTCTACATAGGAGAGACTGAAAGAACTCTCTTCCACCTTCAGAACAGCATCTGTAAGGCTCAAGCAACACATTTAATGTGTGCTTTAAACATGAAATCCTCTAGAAGTCTAACAATTCCTCTTGAAAACAAAAAAAGAAATTACAATTACTCCATCTTTCCCACTACAAAAGTTACTATTAGTTTTGCAGTTACCATCTGTTGGAGAATTGACCTCTGTTCTAACTTTTGATTTTTCAAGATCTTCTTTGTATTCTTTCTTCAATTGTTTTACAATCTTTTTGCTGTAACTTGATTTCTTCACTTTAAAAACTTCTTCAGTTTCTTTAAAAGAGAAATTGGAAAACATTACATTAGACCCACCATCAAGTATACTTATCTATTAAATATCTTAATTATGTACCTAGAACTTTAGAAATACCATTAACAAACAACTGCCAGGGTTTTTCAAAGTCTATAGCATTATTTCATGTTTTCAGTGTTTCTGTCAAGATTTCTAATCACAAATCTTAGAAACCAAGTTCTGGTAATTACAAGAGAATTCCTTCTAAGAGACCTACGAAGTGCTAGGGCAAAAAGGCAGTCCGACGTGACCCGCGAACAGCAGCCACAGCAGAGTAAAACAAACCCGACACAAAGGCACAGGGCAGATGCTCCTCAGCCAAGCCCGCGGGTCCCGGGGGAAAGGGGCAGGTCGCACAGGTGGGCCCAGCGACTGCCACCGCACAAACCCCTGCCTGCGGGCCACCACGTGCAGCCAACGCCACACGGGGGGAAGGGTCAGGCCCCAGCAATACAGAAGGGGAGGCAGTTGAAACCCCTACACCAGAACTAAACCCGCCGCTCGGCGGTGCTGGGAGCGCGCTGGCCCCGCAGGAGCCGGGCCGGGCCGGGGAAGAGCAGCGGGACCGATGGGGCGCTCCCCGCCCGCCCGCACCGTGCCGCCAGGGCCTTCCCCCTCTTAGGCGACCCCACATCACACGCGGCAACCCGACCGCCTTCAAAAACAAATAAGGGTCCCGGCTTTCTGCGAGGGCCGAGGGTGCGCGGCCCGCGGGGGGCAGGCCCAGCAGCTCCGGGCCCCTTCCAGCCCCGCGAGCGGCGAGCCAAAGGCCGGGCAACCTCTCGTCTCACCCTCTTCCTCGTCCTGGAAGCTGAGCAGGCTGGCCCGCGGCACCTCTTTGTTCTCTCGCGGCCGCTTCTTCTCCTTGGGCCGGCCGGCCGCCGGCAGCCCGTTGCCCTGCTGGGGCTGCGGCGGAGGCTGCGGCGGCGGGGGGGCCGGGAAGGCGGGCGCCGGCAGAGCCCCCAGGCTTGCCCGGTCGCCTCCCATCAAGCCCAGCCCCAGCCCGAGCGCCGCGCCGTAGCTCGCAGCGCAGGCGAAGGCCGCGGGGCTGCCGGGCAGGGCGAGGGGCACGCAGCCCGCGGGCAGCGGCAGGAGCCCGGCGCCCGCCGCCAGCGACATGGAGGCCTCGCTGGGCCCTTCCCCCCCCGCCCCGGCCGCCGCCGCCGCCGCCGCCGCCGGCTCCTGAGGCGGCTCCTCGTCGCGCTCCTCGTCCTCATCCTCCGAGTCGTTCCGCTTCCGCACGTTCACCCTCCGCGCCTTGCGGAACATCGCGCCGGGCACCCACCGGGCGGCCCCGCGCGGCCCCCGACACCGC